ACACACTCACAGAGTCGCACACATACACTCACAGAGTCGCACACATACACTCACATAAAGGCATTAACAGGGCCATATCTTCTACAGCTAGCTTAGCAATGACTAGACAGGGACTGGGGTGATGGGTAAAGCAGAGGATGGGTAAAGCAGAGGACCCCCTGGGGATCTGACTCACAAAATGATTACTGGTAAACCTGCTCTGACAGAGCGAGTTGACCAAAACCAACCAAGGGCTTCCTACCAATTTAAGACAACGTCATCTGTCATGCAAGAGGAGATTTTTGTTTCTTTCAAGCTAATAAAGTCAAAGCAGAGACTGTGTAGCAATATGACCATCATATAGAAGACTTAAAAGGGACACTACACCAGTGCTACTAGGTTCAATCTCGGTTATTAAATTTTGAGCTCCTCCTGGGAATGTAGACAATACATGGACAAGACATTACAGAAGGGATTCCAATGCAATAACGCTGGCTAGTTTAATATTTAAGATCTATTTGTAGCAGGATTTCTAGAAAAAGCCATCTGCAGCAGGTCAGAAATGTACTGTTTCATCAACATTTTCTATTGTTGCTTTGAATTACCTAATTAGTTTGACAAATAAATAAAAAACCCCAGTCAAGTTCTGACAGTCCCTAAACCCTGATGACATTCTCAGAAAAAAAGAAAAAAAATTAAGCCAACTCTTATTTAATCTAATCTAAACTCTCAAAGTTAATTGTGGTCTTTTTGAAGAAAAGAAACAGCAACTTTTGGTATAGACTCTATGCAAAAAAAGTGTTTTTTAAAAAGTGTAAACAAACTGCCAGATTTTCACATATGCATCACCTTATTCTGGCCTAAATCTCTAGATCAATAAGTATCAGTTTGCTAAAAACTGGTTCTCTCTGCCATGGGACTGGATGGCAGGGAGGTGGCATGAACCACGGCTGGAGGTTGACAGATACAGTTCCAGATACGGTAAAAACTGCAGGAATGCTAAAGGACAGAGAAAACGGCTGCTGGCTGGCATGATGGCTGCCACATGCTGTCAGGTCAGCAGGGAATGAGGCTACAGAGGCGAGTGAGATACAATTGGTGGACTGGGGGGGTTGGGACGCTAGACAAAAAGGATTAGCTTTAAAAACAATCAAAGTAGAGGAAAAGATCATTCTGTGTATTTACATGTCCGTGCATCTGTTTATGAATTCTGAATGAATGAATATGAATAAGTTTTTTCCATGTGTGCGTTAGTGTGCATGTGTGTGTCTTTTTCTGGAGGTTCAAACCACTGCAAGAGTCCAGCAGGCAGTTATATTGTCCCAGTTACAGAGACCCGCTGGAAGCACTGGGCACATAATGAATACAATGGTTAAGCTGCATGCCTGTGTGTATGAATGTGTGTGTGTTCATGGTTAGCATACTGCAGTCTAGACCAGGGGATCAAGTGTAATCTCCCTTCACTGATACAGCTGATGAGCTGAGGTCACAGAACACCGTCACTGTGTTAACATCATTTCGGTGTGTCAGCCGCACAACAATGTACTGTTATTAATTAATTCATAAATTACTCTAAGAGATGATTATAGTATATGACCCTTTTGGCTGCAATTATGCTTTTAAAACTTTGCTGAGAAGTATTAACATTAAAACTTTCCAAAGTTTCCCCTGAGCCTCCTGAATCCAGTGCATTGGGTATGATACATTCAGTGGTTGAAGACCGTTATTGCGACCGTGTGCAACGATTTTGTGATCTTGTTGCCTTTAAAATGTTTGCTTCGAAGATGGGGAGCAGGTCTGTAACCACTCACAGTCAGTTACCATCCTCAAAGTGACTTTGTTGTGTCAAGAAGACGATGGCTTCAGTTTGCAAATGAATGGGGTCAAGCTGGCGATTGCATGCAGTCTTTTTGTGATAATACAGCGATTAAGTGTGATGAATTTGTGAAAATCTAAACTTGCCATCTACAAACACAGTTATTAACATTAAACAGAAATTAACTACTTATATTCAGAGTCCAGCCTCATAGATTTGAAACGGAAATTCAGAAATTCCTCAACAAAGAGCAACGTACTTGCTGCAGGATGGCGATTAAACTGCACAGGCACTCAGCAACCATGCTTTTTACATAGAAATATAACTAGAAGACAGTCCTCTATTGCAAAGAAGTCCCACTCTTTGGCACAGACTGACTAACACTGATTGCAGTGAGTTTGCATTTTGCAAATATTCACCAATCTGTCTGACGGTGATTGCCAGTCGAAGTCTGATCACAACCTGCATGGCGTCAGGTTGCGACCTGTGTGGTCACCAACAGGTTATGGTTTCGCACGATCAATTTCCAGCCTACAAGTTGGCCACTGCAACTCCTTTAAATCGGTCCCCGGCAGTGTATTCGCCGGGTAACCACCAATGTTTCCTAGTCGCAATGAGATTGCTGTCCTAGTTTTACTCAAGTGTAACTGACAAGATATGAAGACTGATTGTGTAGCTGACTTACACTTACTTCGACAAGTGTAAATGTGTTCTAACATCATTCTTCATCTCATCTATGAGCTTTTTGGTTCATTACTGTATATCTGGGTTGTCTCTGGGTTTAAAAGAAAGTACAATACTCTCACTTTTTGCCATTTTTTCTTTCTTTCTGTTATTTCTTGCTACTAATCCGCACTGGTGAAGCCAAAACCAGTCTGTATTTATTACCGATAGCGCCAATATACACCGTAAATAATTACTTTACAAGCATGTTGAAAATACTGAATAACATACTTATTTGTCATTATGGAAAAAAGCACAACTGTTGCTAGATTTTATCCTTTGACTTTTATGTAAAAATACATTTGTGTCTTTTCTTGACATGGATTCTATAACAAATCATTTTGCTGAGAAGTAAATAAAAAGTACAGCATAAGTGTTTTAGTATTGCTTGTTACACTGTAATTACCTTGTAAAATCACATATCCAAACCACCAGTTAATTCTCACTCAAAGTACCGTAAATGACATAACAGCAGTGAATGTTATATTCTTCAAGCAGAGCTCTTCAGCTTTTAGGGACATAAAGCACCAAGAGAAGAGATATCACAGCATTAGTGGGTCCTCTAATGGCTTCACACACCAGTGAAACAATCACTTTGGTTTTTATTTATTTATTTATTTCATAATGGAAGATCACCAGTTGCAAGTATCTAACACAAAAGGTGTAACAAGTGCAAATAATCTAACAAATGAACCCCTGGAGGGAAAGAAAAAGAAGCAGTGTGGTGTTGAAGCGCACAGGTAATGATTGAAGCCTTGAGCTCTCTGTCGCACACAGTTTGGGTTACGTGACACGCAGTATTGTGCTTGACAGTCTATGTTTAATTGGAATGGATCGGGGAATCAATATCAGTCTATAGACAAAAATCACAGTGCTTGTAAACAAACTTGAGTTGCTGTGAATGTTTCTTTTTTTTCTTACATTAGAAAGCACCCACTTAACGCTAACTGTTCAACGACTGCTAATTAATTTACCCCCCACTCGCACACACTTAGCCCCACCAAAACCACCACTACACAGGAACCTCATTTAATTAAAATAACTTCATTACTCTGAGCTCTGAATCACTTCACTCTAAACAAAAGCAGATGCCTCAAAGAAAAAACTAGAAGGAAAAGAGCCAACAATCTCTGCGTGTGTGTCTTTCTCTAAGACGGACATATGTATTAAATGCAAAAAGACAACCAAAGTAATCCAGGATGAAGACTCTCTCAGCTAGATGTGACACTGACAAAATGTCCTGCTGCCAGAGACAAGGTGGGACAAGTCAACACTTAACATGGGGATTAGCCTGCTTAAACACAGTGAGTTGTAAACACAACTCTGCATCCTTCCTGTTCATTGTAAAGGCATAATTATATCAGCAAAGTTGGCTGCAAACACATGTAGCAGGGAGAAGAGAAGAGAAGAGAAGAGAAGAGAAGAGAAGAGAAGAGAAGAGAAGAGAAGAGAAGAGAAGAGAAGAGAAGAGAAGAGA